CGCGGGGGGGCGAGAGGCGCCGCGGGCCGCTCCCTCACGGCGCGTCCCCAGCCGGGGCTCTTTCGTTCCCCGGGTCTCCCGCGGGGGAGGCGGCTGCGGGGGAGGCGGCTGCGCGAACGGCGCCGCACGGCCTTCTCCCTCCCGGCGGGGCAGCGCGGGCGTCGTCACCAGCCCAGCCGGTTTTCACGTAACGTTTTTATTATGAACAAATAAAACTTCAGATCAGCACGACCGGCTGTCCGCTGCCGTATTAGTAGAAATTATTCCAAAAAGGTTTTTCTTCTCCTTTCCGGTACACAAAACAGAGATACTACTACGCAGAAACCCCTAAGCTGGGAAAAATTGTATCCTACTCGCATTTCAACAGCGACAGAGCCTAGACGATGTGCAGATTCAACTTTCCAGGCCTTCCCTGAACACCCAACACTTGGACAGCTGCTCCTCACAATACCAGCGGGGCTGGGAACGGTTTTGGAAAACCAACCAGTCCGCGCTTCTGCCAGCAGCGGTGCGCGTGCGGTGCGTACGCCTTCCTCCTCCACGCTCGGCCGGTCGGCAGCGAGCCTCACCGCACCCCAGGGAGGCACGGCGTAACCCCCTGGTACAGACCGGGAATTGAGGCACCGAGAGTTTTTAAGTGACTGACTATGTCCCAAATCACGCAGTGCGCGAGTAGCTGCAGTGGGAACACGTCCCAGGAGAATGGCTGCTCTAGCCACGAGGTCCCACTGCTGCCTTCTCTGCTTCCACCTCTCACAGACTCGTTTAAGCTAAACATACGGATGACGCGCCCAGGATACAAACATGCCACCAAAAATATATATATATATATTTAGGGGGGGGGTGTGTGTATATATATGTGTGTGTGTATATCTCTACCTATATCACAAAGTTCTACTTGAAGCGTTGCATCTGTTCCTTAATCTAACCAAAATTCTAACTCCAATACATTCAAAATCACCTGCACCCACAGTTCCATGTAGGCAATTAAATAATTAAGAAACCCCTCGAATGTTCACAATTCAGAAAAAAAAAAAAAAAAAGAAAAAAATACGGCAAATAGCTGTCAATACTCCTATGTATATTAAAGAAAGATTTAAGGCACCCAGAGATATTTGCCAATCTACCTTTAAAGTGACTGGGCAAACACCAGGACTGTTTGGTTACTGCTCCTCAGCTCCCACGCTAATTCCAGATTCTGGACCCGAATCAGCACTTGACATTTGAAAGGAACCCTTGATGTCAAATCCTGCTTCTCTGCTGAGAGGATGCGAAATATGGCAGCATGTCACAGCACGCTTCTCTCCGGTAGGGTGTGTCACGTGACCCCTTAAGGGCACCAGGAGCAAGGAAATCATTCTCCTCATCTTCTCCCCTCCCCACACCCCTTTCAAATTACTGGATGGAACAAATTCATCCTCTCTGGAGACTTCTGTGAATTCAGAGAGGTTCAGACTAGAGCAAAGTCAGCCCCCAATTGCAGAGCTAACAGCGTTTCTCTTTTTTTTGGAGGGCTTTTTCTATTTTCAAATGGCAGGATACAATTCTAGCCACAACTCCCTTTGCCCCAGCCAGCCCCCAGGCAGTCACGAGCCTCAGAGCACCAAGGATGCCGCCTCCTGACGCTGGGAGCTGAAGGGCTCCCTGCGCCATTCCTCCCTGTTGTACCTCTCGGCTGGAGACCACGTCGCTCCCGATGGCTCAAAACCTTGAAGGGTCCCATTGCTGAGCAATAGCAGGGCCATGGTGCTGGCGGGCAGGGGAAAGGAGAGGAGAAGGACTTCTTTTCTGAGTAACGAGCGTGCTCTTGTTAAGGAGAACATCACAGAGCTGTCCTGGCTCCTGGCGTTTCACAGCAGCAGGAAAAAGCAAAGCTGCAGAGACTTGCTCCCGTGAAGCTTGCCCGGCTGCTATCTGGCAAAGCTGAGGCGAGGAAGTTGGCATCCACTCTCTCTGCCCTCCCTGGCCTGCCTGAATAAGGCAGATGCTGCAAACCCCGCTCCAGTATCACCTCGTTCCGGCCGCCTCTTGTGCGTTCCTCCAGCTCCGTTTGGTGCATTTAAGCAACAAAAACAAGACTATTGCTACAACTAATAATAATAATAAAAATTAATAATAATGGAGAGAGTTAAGGGGGAAAAAGAGCACATTCAGCCCAGTGAGGGGCTCGGGGCCATGATGCCCAGAACCTAGCCCACCACCTGAACTCGAGCTGCGGTCTCTGCAACTTGCAGGAAACAACACCCACAAGGACTTTTTTCCCCAGCACACCCTCCAGCTGCGTGCCCACGTCAGCTCGGTGATATAACTGACCTTTCCGCAGGCTCAGCCGTCCTCGCTGCCTGCTTCACCAGCGAAGGAGCAAGGTGGCGAGATGGCTCGCCAAGGGGGCTGGGAGGCAAGCCAAGGGACTAACGAGGAGCTGCTTTCGCCTCCCCCTTCCCACCCCCTCAGAGGAGCCGGGAATGACAAACCACCCTGGTGGACTCTGGGCAGGAAAGCCCAGAGGTGGCTCGCACTGGCGGCAGTGTCTCGCCTCGGAGGTCTTGGCTCCCTCGAGCCCCCCCATGCCGCCTGGCCCCGCGTCGGTGTTTCTCAGGCACTTGTTAATCGACCGAGCGGAGCCCCCAAGGATGGAGAGACCTGCTCCCGCGGACACCCTCACCCCTCCCTATGCCTGTAGGCGCTCCCTTGCCCCATCCCTGCGCTCAGCGCAGGATGCGGATCCGCAGGGTGGGCACGGACACCAGGACATCTGCCTGCCACCCAGCGGGGACCCTGTTCCTCCAGCACACAAAGCAGCTGAGCTCAGCGATGGAGCTTTGGTTTACATCCTTCTCCCCCTCTCCGTGTTGGCAAAGGCCTGTTTCCCGGCAAAAATCTCAGTGGCGGCAGCAAACAAAACCACCCCAGGCTGGTGCCACCGCACGGCAGCCAGTGGCACACCCCTCTGTCTGTCCCCCTTCTCACTGTGGCTCTCCAAAGGGGCCACGGAGCCCAGAGCCAGGCTCTGCCTTCAGTCCCTGGTGGCGTGGGGCACGGCGGGCAGTGCAGACAGGGAGGCTGTGACACCAGACGGAGGAGGTAATAAGGTTGCCTAGGCTCCCCCTCCAGTGCCCGCTGCCGCCACCAGACCCCCCCCCCAGCTTGGGAGAACACTTCCCAAGAGACATCTTGGAAAGAGACAACTCCTTCCGGTGCCAAGGGAAGGGGACGGGGCTGCTTTTCCCCTGCAGGGAGAGCAGTTTAGCCATGCCACATCTGTCAGCAGCCCTTGAGAAAGGAAGAGGGACAGAGGAAGGAATTTGGGGGGGAAGGTGGTGGGGAGAGAGTCACTGACTCTGGCTCAACTCTTCAGCTGGCTGGTACAGGCTTCCCTTAACCCCATGGTACGTAGCCAGCTGCGATGAGCCGCCCTGGGCTGCTTCCTACCAGCAACTCTGCCAGGGAGAGACCGGGATGATGTAAAGTGGGAGGCGTGGTAGAGGGGCTGGAGAGAATGAATGGAAAGGAGAAGGAGAGGAGGGAAAGGGGTGGCCTTGCGTTATAAAGGCAGAGTCCTAGATCTTAAATACATCACATAAAATACAGTGTGGGAGGGGGGTTAAAACTCATTATCATTACCTTAAGCAAACTGGTAGCATTATTCAGTAGTTAGTAAACAGAACATTAAACCTTTGTCCAGCGTGTTCAGAGGGGTGAGGAAAGGAGAAAGGGAGAAAAAAGGAGGAAGGAGAGGTGTGGATGTGTGTGTGAAGGGGAGCAGGAACTCAGCCACTCTTGTGACTCCCGTCTCCAGTCCGCATTTTCCGAGCCAGGATGACCTCCTTCGAGACTTTCTTGCGATCGCTGGCCAGCCCCAGGAAGCACATGAGGTCGATGAAGGCTGTGGTTAAGTTGAAGCGCCAGCCAAACTCACTGGTGGAGTAGTCGTAGGGGAAAGTGTGGTGGTAGTTGTGGAAGCCTTCTCCTGAAAAACACGACCGGCGTGAGGCAGAGCTCCAGGTGATGGGCCCTCTACCTTGGCCCAAAGCACCACATTCCTGAAACAGGCTCTGGATTGAGTCCAGGCTTCTCTCTCCTCTCAGCCCAATTTCACCTCTCTGCAATCTACCCCACCTCATTTGGGCAGGTCCAGCACGCCCAGGCTGGCCCAAATGAGGCAATGACAGTCACAGAGGACCTATGGTGCTTTAGAGGAAAATGAGCGTGTGGCAAGGAACCGAGAAAGGCCCGGGCTCACCGACTGCACCGAAACACCGGGGGAATCCTAACGGCTTTTCCTCTGCCACCACGAGAAACCTTCTAGTATTGGTTGAGCTACCAGCTAGACCTGCAGCAAGTCCCCAGCAAGCCAGGCCAATCAATACTCCTACACCACTGGCAGTCCTAATGCCAAATCCAACAGGCATTTCCATGTGGGAATAATGCAGACAGACTTCTACTAAGCAATCTACCCCAGTCAGCCACCCTCTGCTCCGGACACTGTCAATGCTGGCTTCAGTGCTCACCCCTTCAATGACATCGCCTGGACTCCTGCTCCTACCCCCCCCGAGTCTTTGCAGTTCAGATCCCTCCCTACTAAAAATCCAGGAGCAGATCCTTCGGTGGTGGAAATCAGTGCAGCCCCAGTGATGTACAGTGATGCAAACCAGCCGAGGATTTGGGCTTGGGAGAACAGATCAGGGCAAATGCTGACCCTGGGATGTACTCTCCTAGGTCCCCAAAATTTCAGGAAAACACATGAGATGATCTGGCTTGTCTCATCCTCAAGTACCCCCAAAATCACCAGCTGCCCTGACAACATGTCCAAATGTGCATCTGCTGGTTTTCAAGTTGACAAATCTAAGACAGAGAAGCAGAGCCTACAGCACACGTTTTTCAGTCTGGTGAACGGGGCAGAGAGACCTTCGAGCAGGGTAAATAAAGTACTGCTGTTGAGATAAGGAGGTGCTAAGTATAGCAGAGTCCTTTCCAGCCTGGAGAGAGGCTGGTGGGAGCTGATAAGCCCACTGCCCTTATGTACTCACTGACCAGCCTGGGAAACACCCCTAGGTGCAAAGGCTGGAGGGGAAGAGTGCAGGGGCAAATAGGGACACCCGGATTCACAGAAATTCCTAGAAGCAGCTGCAGCCCCAAGGGGCAGTCCCCGCTCTACAGTCTACCCGCAGCAAAAGACATGGACGCTGAACGTACCTAGGGCCCCCAGGCTGACCAGGGGGTTCTCCCGTGGGTTGATGTGCTGATCGTATGGCCGGTTGCCAAACATGTGAGCAGCACTGTTCACTAGCCAAGCGGCATTGAGCGCTACGGCGTAGCGCAGGATGGCTGGAATGAAGAAGCTGATGATGATGGATTCGTCCCAGAAATACCAGGGCACTAGAGTGGGCAGGGTGAAGCACAGCAACACCACCGAGGGCTTGTAGTATCTGGAAAAGAAGGGACCAGAAGGAAAGTGCTCAGTGGCAGAGGCAGGACAGGAACGGGTGGTTCAGTCCTCCCTTTGGAGGATTCATGCTCAGCTATACAGGGAAAATCAAGTGCAGAAATACCTCACCCCTGAGCCCTGCACCTTTTGCCCTGGGTGTGCAGAAGCCATGCCTGGAGACTCCAAAGTCTTATCACCGGGCAGGAGACTCAAACTGAAGTCCTGCTCTCCCCGTCTCAATCTCACATGTGCACAAAGCAATGTCCCCATCACCATGAGTCCAGACACCAGCTGCTGCTTTTAGCCTCATCTGCCATTTGCTTCTCAGCTGTGCTGGTCCCCATAAAGGCAACCCCATGCTTGCAGAGTCCCACAGAAGGTCCCTTCTCCGGCTCTGGCCCAGCGCTGCAACTCTTCCTTGCAGACTTGGCCCTGCCTACCAATACACCCCATCAACAAGTGCAAGCGAGGGACACTTGCGCCATCAAACAGACGAGCATGTGGGGTCTCTCACACTAGAGCGAAGGGAGTAGAGGAAGCTGAACCACTCTGACGAGCCACAAGAAAAATCCCAGGCACAAAAAGGAGGGAAGCCATAAATCTTGCTTGGTTTGTGTGGGACAGAACTAGGGACCTCCTGAGTGAGGGTGGTTACTGTATGGGGTCAGTCCCCCGTCCCTGCAACCCTGGTGACAGGCTCGCCTTCTCTGGGGATCAGTCCCAGTATAGCCCCAGACAGCTGAGAGATAGCCCATGCAAGAGGCAGCAGTGAATCAAGACTGTCCTTCCCAGTTACTGTCTCCCTGACGTCCCCTTTTTCAACTCCTCTTTCACCACACTGTTTCCAGGAGGCTGTTGGGAGAGGGGTGGAGGCATGGCCTGGAAGGTATACCACAGCATCGCCAAGGATGGCCCGGAGGCACCTGTGGGTGGGCTCTGGGCCAGCTAAAGCAGCAGCTGGGCTGTGGGCAGGCAGGCGTGGAAGTGCTTTGCGGTGGGAAGCTCAGCCTGCTGCTGGCAAGATGCTACAGGGTAGGCGGGCAAGAAAGGCGTGTGGGAGGGCTGGAGGTAGCACTAGCTCCTAAATACTTCCTACAGAGCTCCTAAATACTTCCTATAGGAGAGGCACAGCTCATTTCTCACAGTTCATCCCACAGACCGAAGACTCTCATTCTCAAATGACGCCCTCAATCCCCTCATGCTCCATCAAAGGCGCTTGGGGTCCCTAGCCCATTTGCAGAGTCCCTGCTCTATCCCACATGGCTCTGTGCTGGGGCTGACCCCACCACTCACCTCCGCTGGAACATCACCACTTTGTCAGCCTTTATGTCGCTCAGGTCCAGCTTCTGGCCCTTCTCTATGACATCGGGGTGCTTGCGCACCAGTAGCCAGCCGATGTGGGAGAAGAAGAAGCCCCGCATGGCATTGTGTGGGTCCGCGTCCGTCTCGGAGAACTTGTGATGGACGCGGTGGTCCCGGACCCACTCGTAGATGTCATTCTGCAAGGCAACAGGAGTGGAGACTTAGGGCCAGCGCTGGAGATATTCCCTTCAAATTAACAAAAGGGTCTAAAACATTTAGACACCTAAATACCATTGACGTGAACTCCTATCAGTCATTTTGCCTTTCATTAGGGCTTGGGGTTTTTGGCTTTTAAAACAAAGGTTAGGGTCGTCTTTGCTCAACCACTTCCAATTTTCTTTGAAATCTGCTTCTTTGGTGGGCTGCC